GACGTATAATTCTCCTGGGACAATTTTCGACGTTCCACATCTATCCTGCCAGACGTTTCACGCCTAATATCCTACACTCTATTTCCTTTCTTTCTTTTCTCTCTCTCTCTTTTCTAATCGCTGAAAAAAAAAAATTTCCCACAAATTCACGAAAATGTCGCCGTGCAAAACGGCTGACGAAATCTCCATGTAATCTTCTTCGTCAAAGATCGACTCGGTTCGAGTGGAAGCCACGAGCGTAACAGCAGACCGAGCTGCGAAAGGGCTGCGAAACGGGCGAAGTCGTCTGGTTTCGCAGGTAGGAGAGAGGGCGAGAGATCGGTCGGCAAACTCGGGCTGCGAGCCCCAATAATTCAGAGGCAAATTCTACGGTGGCCCCCGACAACACTGGCCGAACAAAGACCGCTGGAAGGGACAAAGGGGTTACCAGGATTGACCCCGGCGAAAGTTCTCGTCTCTGTCTCCTGTTCTCGCCGCTCTTCCCTCTTTGCTCCTTCCTCAGTCCACACTGGCTTGTGTGGCTCTCTGCGTCACTACCCATTCTCTTTCTATCTCTCTCTCTCTCTCTCTCTCTGTTCCTCTGTCTCTTTAGCTTCGTTCTCTGCGAAACGAACCTCTGTCCTGTGCAACTGCATCCCTGTACTTTGCGAGTACCTGTGGATAAATGAACGCGTTGCAGCTGTGCGGTTGGATTAAAGAGTGAACGACGCGACTCGAGCGAACTGCTGCAGGGGGATGTTGAAAATGGCGCGAAGGTCCTTGGCGAGAGGTGAAATCGTGGAAAATGCCTTTGACGGTTGGAAATACCGTTGGATGGCTCTTCCCTTCTCTCCCTTTTTTTTTTTTTTTTTTTTTTCCGTCAACTCGCCATTGCGGTATTTAGAATTTCTTTGGTTTGCATTCCTCTGGCCATCTGCTGGGGATTTTTCACGTTTGGGAAATTCTTCACGATTTGCGAATTGTTCTCTGTTGTTTTTTTTTTTTTTTTTTTTCATTAAATTTTTTGAACAGTTTATCCCACCAGCGATTACTGTCGACGGAAGAAGATGCAGATCTCGAGGAAACGATTTCATTTGGGAATTTGCTTGAGTTTATATTCATCCAAAATCTAATAATGTAATTTTTTTTAATAATTTTCAAAGAATCTGTATTACTAGTTATGCGATGTTACATTCTATAAGAATCATCATATACATCGTGTAAAAAATCCATCAAGTAACGATTTGTTTATTTCACTACTCTGTGAAAATATATTTCTTGCCACGAAGTTCAATTATTTCTACTTTTACAGTCTCCAGATAATTTTTCCAACATACTCAAATTTATATTTTACGTATGTGTTAATTATAAAAATTTATTATTACAAGAAAAGAGAACTTGAAAATATTCAGAAGAAAGAAACAAATTTATATTTAGCTATGTCATATCGTACTACGTAAAAATCGTTTTATAATATTATCATTATATCATTAAAAATTATCATATCATATAAAAATCTAAATATTTATATACACTATATAACATATATATTATAAGAGATTTTATATTATATATATATATATATATATATATATATATATATATATATATATATATATATATTATATTATTATTCAGTGTTAATATTAATATATGCATTAATTTTAAGTGTATATTATTATGTATGTTATATTATATATATATATATATATATATATTTAATTGATATTCGTCAAACCAAAAATTTATTCCAGCGAATTCTTAATTTATTCTAGCAATTGTTTATTATTTAATTTATTAATTTCAAATATTTTGTATTAATATTAATTTTAAGTATACATTTCATTCATTAAATAATTATTAATTTTATGTCATCTTCGAAAATCTGTCGCAGATTTATTCTACAATGAACAATAAGTTGATCATTCTCGTTGCTCCGACATTACTCGGCAGCCAAATTTATTAATCGGCGAGTTATAAATTACATGGTTTTTCTAATTAACTTTTATAAATCTGATAACCGAATGACGCTGTGTTCGTCCATTTCGCACTTCGGTGAAAATTTTATTAATTCCCTCCCTCTCCCCCCGCCGGAGTTGGACTAATCGAATAATTTACTCTAGTGTTTTGAACACTGTACAACAGCAAATGCTCGACGAGAAGAGAAGGCGATAAAAGAAAATTACTGTAAATTCGTAACGTCGAGCGTGTTTGGCAAAAATATTGGCGCTGGCTTTAATCCTTTATCGCCCGGGAAATGTTTTTGCCCATTAACTTTCTCGATAATTGAAAGTCGAATTTGCGAGGGACATTAACGATAATGTTCATTTATAAAAATATAAAAATATATAAAATATATAAAAATATATAAAATATATAAAAATATATAAAATACATAAAATATATAGAATATATAAAAATATATAAAATATATTAAGGAAATATACAAAATATATAAAATATATATATAAAATATATTAAGGAAATATACAAAATATATAAAAATATATTTAAAAAAATGTAAAATATATATAAATATAATAATATAATAATATATATATATATATAATATATAAAAATATAAAATATAAAATATATAAAAATATAAAATATAAAATATATAAAAATATAAAATATAAAATATATAAAAATATAAAAATATAAAAATGTAAAATATATAAAAATGTGTAAAAAAAATTATAGGAATGTTTTAAAATCGAATTCACAAGAAATATTAGTTTTTATCATCCGGGACGTTAATGTCCATTTGTAAAAATATAAAACTATAAAAGAAAATATAAGAATGTTTTAAAATACCTCTGCTCTGCTCGCCAACTTGCGTGATCGAACATTCTAGGGTGTGTAGTTTCATGGTGTATTGTCGCATTTACATTGTGACGAGCAAAACTGAACACGCGCGTGGAATTTTGACATATAAATTACATAAATTATGTGAATATGAAAAGAGCAAAATGTGTAGTGTTTTGGCTTTTTCAAGAAAAATATCGCCACCGTTAGTATTCTGACAGATACAAATTGCTTTCGTGGAGCCAGTTTTGCGCTGTAATTAGTTTAATTGAAAAATTATCGATACGTATCGATTTCGTAAAAGAAAATCATATGATAATCTCCTTTTTTTTCCCCTCTATATTAGATACTTTAACATTATAGCAAACAAAAACAATGTTCTTAAAAAAGAGGAAGTGCAAGAATTTACATGCATGTAAAAATGTACTGAATTTTATTCAACTCGATCCATCTCAGCCTTGGGAATTAAAGTTTCCCCTCTGCTTCTACCTCTAACCTTCGAAACTTGCAATTATTTTTCATCGTTTTATTGAACTTTTATGACAAATAACATTTAATCTAAACGTTTATTGACAAATAACATATAACCGTATTATTCAAAACTGAACAAAATGACCAAAAAAAGAGTTCGTCGTAAAAAACAAAAAAAAAGGAAATTTTAGTCATCGAGACCCAAGTCTGCGAGGTCAGATCAGAAAATTTTTCCAATTTGCTCTCTACAAATTTTTACAATTTGCCTTAAAATGAGATCAAGCGGATTTGTTGTTCTGCTTCTAAGCGTTGATGTATCCTCTTTTCGCGACGTCACAGTAGTTCGAAGCATCGACAGATTTTTCATCTGTGTCTGTTCTCTGTTCATTTACGCTCCTCATTTACGTTACGTTCTGCACGCACGCCTGTCGCCACGCCAATAAACATGATAACATTGATTTTTAACGTTTATTTACGTATCGTGCAATTGGTGCGAAAGTTTGCAGCGGAGCTGCTGCTCGTTGGCGTATTTAGCGCCTGGGTTGGTCACAGTTGCGCGATTACTTCGTGATTTCCGGCGTACGCGATGACGCACGGAAACTGATTTGCAGTTGGAAGTAGTGTACGCCATCGGGCTACCTGTTGACGACGTACAACTAATTTTAAGCAGCGCCTCGTCGCATGCCCACCGACCAAACAAAACACTGGCCGCGATTTCCGACTCGCATTTTCGTACCGCAATCTGTCTCGCCCGCTCAACGAATCGCCCATCCTGTTTTTTCACGCATGAATTACTTTTTTTTTTTACTCGTATCTCGTTGAAACATTGTTACTCTAACGCAAATTTAATTTGTCCTACTTTGGGAACTGTGTAATTTCACCTACATAATTAACGATTACGTTTTTTGTGTTATATATATATATAACACAAAATATATAAATTATTATTATATATATATAATAAATTATATTTTATATGTTATTGTATATAATAAATATAATTTATTATATTGTATATGTTCTTAAATTAATAAATTAATTATATATATATAGTAAAATATAATAAAATAAAATTTATTATATATATATTATTATTATATATATATAATAAAATAAAATTAAAAAATAAAATAAAATAAATATTAAAATAAAATTATATATATATATATATATATATATATATATATATATATATATAATCTTTACGATAGTTTGCAAAGCAAACAAGGGCAAATTTTTTTATTTTTCGCAATTTTATTTTTTCGACGGACCGCGGGAATTTTTTTTTTTTTTTTTCGAAAAATTTGAATTCGCCGCGCGCCAATGCGTGAAATGCAGTTTTTCTTTATTATTTTTATCACGTATGTACGTGCACGCCGCTACGGTTTTATTTGTCGCGTACATGGAAATACAACGTCGTATAAATAGAACGGGAAGAACCCTAGCGAAGTTAAAGTAACGATTACTGTTTCGGTTTTATAGCTCGACCCACTTTTCCTTTTTTTTTCGTTTCCTAATCTTCTTAATCAATAATAAGTCGTGCTCCCCTGTTCGTTCGTTCGTTCGTGCAAGATGCATTCTTTTTTTTTTTTTTTCTTTTTTCCTAATTGTAAACACGTTGCGCGCAATTATATCCATTAAAAGATATCGTAAATCTCTCTTCGTTCGGATTTTATTCGACAGCTATAGTTTAATCGTCGATACATTTTTTCGTTAATTTCTCTCGCCTCTTCGCGAGCGTATATTCAATGAACGTGTGCAGCTTCGAACGTGTGCACACCGAGCGAAGGCTCTGTCCACTGATTTGCATCCTTCGCGCATCTACGAAAACTTGAAAAAAGTCTTATTTGAAAAGAATCGGGGTGCCTGATCGATATCTCGACCGCTGTCTCGCAGCGCCATCGTGCGTTTCGATTCGCGCGCGATAGTGGATAACGTAGAGATTTGCCAGCTGCGCTCTGCAGCGTCGCGTTACCGACTGTGCTCGTTCTCGGGCGTGCCTCCAGATGGCGCCACCCGCTCGAACTCAGTTGTCCCGCTGACGCGCTCGTAGTTAAAACCGTTTGCTCGTTCCTTCGTATCTTTTTTTTCTCAAATTTCACGAATTTACGTCGGGCGTGCAGTGAAATGTATAATTAACGACTTGCTTTCGATTCGTTCTTACTTTGAAACGTGAATTGGCGCCTTGCGAAGACACGCGGCACGGGAAACGAACTATTTTTGAATCCCACGAAATTTGAATTCCACAATATGGCGTAAGTTATATATATATATACACAAGTACGTTGGCTTTTCACTTTACGTAACAATTTTATGATATTCGCGGGAGAAAGAGGAGAGAGAAAGAGAGAGAGAAAAGGGAAAAGGCGTTATTAAAATCAAAGTATGAAACGCGAGCTTAATTGTATAGCGAAATTAACTGCACTTTGAAACGACCATCCGTATTCGTAATATCTGTTGAGGTTAGACCACTCTGTGGACATTTCCTCCGAGGCAATCGAAATCGCCGCGTTACTTCCGGAACCTAGTTTCGCAAGAAGATATAGCCCCGTATTTCAGCTTACTCGCGTTTTACATACTTCAGTTTAATGCATGTTTTATGGCCGCGACTCGATAAAGTAAAAGAAACGAAAAAAGTGAAAGAAACGAAAAAAAAAAAAAAAAAAGAAAAAGGAAAAAGAGAAAAGAAAACCGAAAGTTGGCAAATACGAACGCTGCAGATATAATCTTATTGATTCTGGAAGCATTAGTCGTCCCATTCCCAAGAATTGGAAATGCAAAAAAAAGTGTCCATGTTGAAACACGTTGCGAAATCTCAGAAGCTTTCAGTTTTATTAGTATTACAGTGTTTAACGTTCAATATACTTTGAATATGTAATATTCAATGTTAATTTTTTAATAACAGATAGAATATAGAATATAGATAATAGACCTGTATGTACTACATGTGTATATAGAATATGTAATATTTAATAATAATAATTTTAATTTCACAATTATATAATTTAATATAATTAATATTTGTATTTACGTAATTTAATATCTGTTAACACTTGTTCGATGAATGCATTATTGAAATTAACAATTTTAATATTAAATAACGACGATTAAATGTAAATTTTTGAAGTACAATTGAACTCCCAAAAGAGGAAAGAAATTGAAAAAAAGTTTCGTTGCTGGGAATGGGTATTGGAAACATTGAACCTGTTAACATTACAATGTAATATCGTGTGATATTAATTTTGTTATTTATTGATTTATTTGTTCTTTATATTATTTTATTTCCTCGACATCTCAGACTCTTATAATTCTACGTCACATATTACAATTGCGTTTTATTTATACTTTCATACTTCATAAGGATTTCTATCGTTTCACGTTTTCAGGGCATGCACGAAAGTTTGAGAGTTTTTCTTTTGGCATACTCGTGGTAGCTCTTTTTTTTCCTTCGTCCGGACGACCATAGTTATTCACGCGGCGTAACATACGCGCGCACCTCATACAAATGAGCCATCACGCGGTTATCGGGACAGAATACATAGAAAAGATGATTAGTATGATGGGTTATTGTCTGGAAGGAAGTTATTCATTAATAACGCGGTGCATCTAAATATATATGCTACAGGCCACACAAGGTGTGGCATTTCAAATTTTGATGTTGCATGGGTGATTAATTAATTTTAACTCATAAGAGAAAACACTATTAATCCCTACGATTCTCAATTTTAAGCGGTTTATTGAAATTGCAACATCGATTTATTGAAATCGTTGATTCAGTTAATACGTTAATACGTTAATTTAGAGTATTTAAAGTATTGAAACGTTATATGTAATTTCTACTTATCGGTGTTTAATTTCATGGAATTACATTTGAAATTTCGTAGGTTTATGATTTACCTTTTCTTTCAAATATCATTTGTTCCGTGTTATGTGATTCTGTCTGATTTATTTAATTTAATACTATTGGCACCTACTATGATATTCATAGAAGAGAACATAACATCTAACATCATTTGTTTCATTTTATTTGATTTAATTATTTCTTTTAATTCAACATATAATATACGAAATGTAATAAAATAAAATAATAAAAATATTATTGATATCTACTACAGTTTCGTTGAGTTATTGATACTCATGATAATTCATGAGCGATTTGAATCAATTTTCTTGGGTTTTAACTGACGAAGGGAAACATCATACTGTATTACATAAAATGAACCAAATATGCCAGAAATTTGTTGAATTTATAAAATTTACAAATATCGTTAGTTCCACGAGTTGTTTGATTTAGTTTAATGTACAAAATAATAGAATACCTAACCATATAATATACTATAATAAAATTATACTAATTATACTATATACTATATAGTATAATTATATTATATGGTAAATATTTTATTAATATAAATTATATATTAAATATATTATACTATAATACTATACTGCATAATAACTGTAATAAAATACCTAACCATGTTGGGATACCTAACCTAATACAGATATTCCAAAATTGCTAAATTATCAAAACCTAAATTACGATAAGCAATGGCGTAAGTCATACAAAATCTATTTATAAAAATTATCATTAAACGCGTATTATAAGTCTACAAATCACAATTCGTCAAACATTCTGCTCTGGAGATCACATCTGAAAGGGGGGAGGAGGGGAGGCAAACGCATGCAGAAGCGAAGTTGACAATGACTTGTTATCGTTGAGATAAAACAACGGTATTTGTAGTTCTTCCGTCTCTTTTTCTGCGGTACAATAGCAATTTACGCTCCTGCGAGCGAGAATAAATCACGATAGGAAAGAAAGAAGGAGGGGGGGGGGGAGGAAAGAAAGAAAGGAAGTCGGCTGAAACACACGCGGCCTAAAAAAAAAATGTGTATGTGAGACAGTTAACATCAACGTATGTCCTTCACGTGCGCATTAAAATTCACGCTGAAAGGCATAAAACTGTCTGTACGCTAATGTTACTATATTACAGGCCTCGGTGAAACACGTCTGATATATCTGTCTTGAACCTCTTGCGCTGCAACGACGTGCCACGCACGTCGCGAATTTCTTTGTCACAAAATTTGCAACAATTTCTCAGTTTTTAAGTGTATTTAAAACAAATAGTAAATTTATTACTTCTCGATAATTTCTATCCAGTGATATTTTATACCGACGAGGTCAAAAGGAAAGCGACGAATTATCGTGTACGATTTGGTCGCTCGTTACGGTCCGCAATCAGTTGCCAGCGCACGAGGTTAACCTGCAACGACGTGCCACGCACGTCGAGAATATAACTTTAGCCCAAAATTGCAATATTTCTTCTCAGTTTTAAAGTATATTTAAAACGAATAGTAAATTTGTTACTTCTCAATAATTTCTATCCAGTGATATATATTTTGTACCGACGAGGTCAAAAGGAAAGCGACGAATTATCGTCTACGGTTTGGTCGCTCGTTATGGTCCGCAATCAGTTGCCATGCACGTCGAGAATATAACTTCGGCCCAAAATTGTAATGTTTCTTCTCAGTTTTAAAATATAGTGAAATATAATCCGGGCAACAACAAATAATAAATTTATTATTCCCTAGTAATTTCTGTCCAATGATATACCGAATGGATTCGAAGAAAAAGACGAATTATTGTGTACGGTTCTTCGGTCGCTCGTTATGGTCCGCGAACCAGTTGCCAGCGCAAGAGGGTTAAGGAAAGGAAAGAAAAATGCAAGAAAGAAAAATTGACATGAAAATTGAACTAATTAAATAAAATTGAAATAACACTAAACGAATGTATTACGTCACACTTGCAAAAAAAAAAGAGCGCGCTGTTTCGCGGATTTTGTTTTTGATCTGAGACTGAGTGTCATCGAGAAAGATCGAGATCCAAATTTTTCAATGACGTTGCCAGCTGTACCTCGACTCATTCCGAGAACGTGACCACCTACTCGTTCAATTTTGATTTATGGTGGTTGGATAACGCAATCGTCTATTATATTCCATAGTTATTCATATAGTTATTCGAACGATTGCTGTCAATTTTCATGTGGGAGCGAGGAATTCGATCGTGGGGGATTTGCTTGGCTTCGAATAGATTCGATGAATCACCGTGAATCTTGATAAAATCCACGTCCACCGAAACGAGTTCCAAACCACTTGTCGGAATTTAAAACGAGCGGCAGTTGTTTTAAAGTCCAAGTATTTATTTTAAATGTCTGCCGAGTAAACAGACGCCGAGATTCTCCGAGTTTTGTAGAAAAGTCACGGTGAGATACGCCTACAGATTACGTATCATTTTGTGCTGTCACCTGTCGATTCTGTTTGCACAATAATCGAGAGAAGGATTCTTCGAAGTCTCTCCTAAAATAACGTTCAACAAGAAGTTATTTACTTTGAGTTGGCCCGGGCTTTTTCGTTTACCGTGTGTTTTCTGGGTTTTAAATGAGAATAGAAGTTCGCAACATCACGACTCTGATGTGGAAGAGTGTGCGAAATTTTTTTTTAAATAAAATGTTCTGTAACATTTAATAATGAATAGTGTTGTTCGGTTGTAGATGATTGCATTATATAATTTGTTATGTCAGATCGCAAAAATTTAGGGTATAATACTTCGTGATGAGAGATTAATTAATTAATAAAACTAAATAAAATAATTTTAGTGATTCGTAATGATCAAAACTACGTTATCGATATAGAAAATATGAAAATTTGAAACATAGTTAAATATTTTTTTAATCATCAAACAGTACCGTTATGTTATAGACAATTACGTTATATAATTTATGTTAGATCGTAAAAATTTAGGGTATAATACTTCGTGATGAGAGATTAATAAAACTAAATAAAATAATTTTAGCGATTCGTAATGGATAAAACTACGTTACCGACTCTGTTACAGAGTATATGAAAATTTGAAACATAGTTAAATATTTTTTTAATCATCAAACAGTACCATTATGTTATAGATAATTACGTTATATAATTTATGTCAGATCGTAAAAATTTAGGGTATAATACTTCGTGATGAGAGATTAATAAAACTAAATAAAATAATTTTAGTGATTCGTAATGATCAAAACTATGTTATCGATATAGAAAATATGAAAATTTGAAACAAAATTAAATATTTTTTTAATCATCAAACAGTACTGTTATGTTATAGACAATTACGTTATATAATTTATGTCAAATCGTAAAAATTTAGGGTGTAATACTTCGTGATAAGAGATTAATAAAACTACACAAAATAATTTTAATG